GCTGAGCTCTCTCTGTTTATTTATCTGTATGAGATCAGGGCTTGTTGGGGAGACAGGGCCTTTATCCACTTCCTCTTTAGTGCTGTTTATTACACGGAGAAAAGAAAGAACATTAATCAGCTCTTTGTAGAGTCACCCGGCTGATGTCCCACTTCAACCTCCTGCATTCAGCCTCCCGTTCTTCCATTTTTCCCAGGTTCCCATTCACATCTTTGCTCCGCACTCTGCCCTCCTGCCTCTCTGCCCGCGAGTCCCCCCCCCCGCCCCCCCCACTGCTGTCTAACTAATTGTCAAGGTTCTTCTTAGCATTATGCTAAACTGCGTCTCTCTGCAGCAGGAGCCATCCAGTGATATGGAAAGTACCCACAGCGAGGTCTGTACCGCTGATAAGATTGAATGAATGAAAAAGAAACTGCTCCTAAACGTGTTGTTTACTTGGGCTGGCTTCTTTTTTTTAACTCCACAACTGTTTCTTGGCCGTCCTAAAAACGAGCGGCCTTTCTCTCCTCCACTCACAGAAACATTTACATTCAAACAGCAACTTCATCCCAGGTATTAGGAGAAACTAATTTCACCGCATTAATAGATCCCTTAAAAATGCCCACTTATTTCCTCCATGAATTACTCCCCGTAATCCTCAGCAACTAAATCCCTGTGCTGATTGTTCCTTTTCTTCGTGGACAAATACAAAATGTTTGGAATCAATTCGGGCACGCTCAGCCTACCTGTAGGATTGTTGGGGCAAGAGCTAATAGCAGCGAGCTGACAGGCTGTAGAGGGTTGATAAGCATTTTCTCATTATCGAACCCCATTCACACAGCTGGCCACCACACACACACACACACACACACACACACATAGACACACAAAAGAAATAGATGTTCTCCAGTGCACATTGGCCTCACTGATGACAATAGATGTAAATAAATAAATAAATCCTTGGCGTGCATCTGTTGACGGTGCATGCGTATGACAAAAGGGTGAAGCATCTGCTGAGCGACGAGCTGATACATACCTAGAGAGAATAGACAAAACAACAGAAAAGCTGTATACCACACAATAGCTCTGCAGGAAAATACTGTTTGGCAAAGCTCATATAATTATTTTCTTGTTGGACTCGTCTCAGTGGCCGTGTTTTAGACCCGGAATTATGAGTCATCACAAGGAAAAGCAACTGCCCTGTGTTTGCTGTCGGGATTCGTGACACTGACTCCTTCATGTTTCATACATTTGCAGAGCTCGTGACTGAGGCAGCCAAATCCAAGTCACACATAACTATTGGTATTAAAAGGTCTGGATATAGTGTTAATGGAATATTTGGACAATGGGAGCATGCATCATCATATTTTTACAACTATAATTCACCACCCGCAAAAAGCATCTGTTCGATGATTCATACTTAAATTTCCTTCGGGATCAATAAAGTATCTATCTATCTATGAAATGTAAAGTGGATTCAGAAAGTATGCAAAACCCTTAATTTTTTTTGTTTTCCATTTAGTTTAGAATTTTAAAAATAGAATTGCTCTTTCTTCATTAAGGTCATCAAAAGTGAAAACATGTTTTTAAAACTCAAAACTGAATATTTCACATTTAAAGAAATATTCAGACCCTTTTCTGTGGCACTCGAAGGGCACATGGTATCGATCGAACTCACTTGTGTGTATAAGGTCACACAGCTCGCAACAAAAAGGTCCAGGGAACTCTATGTAGACGTATTAGAGTGTTTTCAAACGAAGACGTTTGGTATTCAGTAAAACTAAGTGACACAAAGCGTCTTGATGGGGTGAAGTCTTGTGCAGAGATAGAAGAAGAACCGGCCAGAAGGTCGTTCAGCTCAGCTGCACAAATCAGGAGATTATGACAGAGGAGGATGTCGGTGACTTTAAGTAAAAGGGACATGATAGAGTTTCACAAACAACATTTAAAAGAGCCAGAGCCTGAGGAAAAACACGAAGCTCCTCTCATCACTCGGCTAACATGAAGCATGGTGGCAGCAGCAGCATTAAACTCTAGTGGTGCTTCACAGCAGCAGACACGAGTCAGAGTAGAGGGAGGGTTGGATGCAGAGACTTCTTAATACAGAGAGGTCCTTAAAGACCAGAGACTGACGTACGGAGCACCAGCGGAGTCCCTGAGTGACCCAGCCAAAGCCCAGACTTTAATACTCACAGACCATCTGCTGAGAAACCAGAAGGTGGCAGGTTGAGAGGATCTGCCAGCAAGAATTAAACTGCTCACATCTCTTTTACAAAGCACCACACTAAAGGTCTGAGCGATTTTCTAAATAAGAAATTTCAACAAATGTGCAAAATGAAGGTTTCAACACAACAGAATGTGCAGTTTTCTGAAAAGATTTTTGAAACCACTGCAAATGTAAACTAGCATAATGAGAATCAAAATGACAATTCAATCTGGTGGATGCTTCTTGCTGCAGACGAGCATGGTTTACTATAAAGATAACAATGACTCAGTTCTATTAAAGCGTTCCACGACAGCAAGCCAGAACAATGAGTGAGTCATCATTCACAAAACCAAGACCCTGAAACACACGAGTTCAGACTTTATCCGTTTTATTCTAAGGAGGTTATGTTGTCAGTCTGATATTCAGCAGAATCACATGAAAACTGCCCAGTGGACTAAATAGATCTGGGATCATGGATCATGGATCTGTTGTTATATATAATTTGTAATATATATTTTAATCATATCTATACATTAGTGTTGATGTGACTGGGACCTAAGGGTAAAAAAAAAAGGCAAGTCTACATCAAAATGTACTCACAGAGAGACTAAGTTGTAAAATTATTCTACTGGCGATTACAAGAAAATGAAAAGAAATAACTGAACACACGAGATAAGGAAATGTTAAAACTTGCAGTTGTTCCAGCTCGATGTTTTCCAGTCTGCACTGACAGAGTGCGGGCTACAGTTGTGAGGGGGTTGAGGCCATTGTTGAGGTAACGTGAGACAAATGAGACCCTGGAGAGCACTACTTAGCCACTCATAAAGGTCAGATATGGAGCCACACCAGTGGATGTTAATCCCGACCCTGGGGACTGAGTGCACATGCGCCTGTGGATGCAATTGTTTCACAGGCCCGGTGACATTTAAACCTGAATGAGCGTGCAGCCCCTGGACGGCAGAACAGAGCGGACGTGCTTGTGCGCCTCTCTGGCTGAGAAGCAGTGGGCTTTAGCGCCCATGGAGGTTTAATTAGACGTGGCCTTGAGGACAATTAAAACATCAGAGGCTATTTCCTCATGTAGAACAAAACCAAGTGGTTAGCACTGTAAATATCCTCTTGATTCTGTTCCTGGGTAAACATTGAAAACTCTCAGCTTCCACAAAAACACCTTTTTAATGACCTGAGTGTGCTAAAAAAACCAAATTATATTATTACTACATCTGAAAATTCCACCTGACAGCAGAGATATCATTATGAGGCAGCACTGTACATTATTATGTAGACACACAGTCTAATTGGTATTGAAGTAAAAACCCACTGGCAGGCAAATAAACCTGTGTAATCCTTTCCCCCTCGTGTTGGAGCTGTAAGGTTGTCAGCAGGTCACATTGATTGGGGCACCTGAGAGTTTCAGTTGAGTGCAGTGGAGATAATGACTGGAGGGTCACTGCAACAGTTCAGCCCAAGTGTAATGAGCAGAAAAAGAAACGCCGATTCAGTTAATGCATGAGAGTGTTGTGTGTGTGTGTGTGTGTGTGTGTGTGTGTGTGTGTGTGTGTGTGTACATGACTGAGGTAGAGATACAGAGCTGTGTACACTCCGCTTCCCTTCCATGAATAACTCCGTCACTGTGTGTCCAAGATTTTGTTCTTGTTCTTACATTTCTATTTAGAAAAAATAATCCTACAATCGATTTCTCTTAATTTCAGGCACACGTTCTCAAAGCTGAAAAATGAATTTGTTCTATAAACTATTCTTGTTCCTCTAATTGATTCCCCAGTTTATTCCAGACTAAAATACTTTCACAGTTTTAGGATGAACTGTCAGTAAATGTTATTCTGGCCTCAGAGAATAAAACCTTGACATTTGTGGATTTTATATAAAACGTTGGACAGATTGTCGTAGATAGTTTTGAACAGCTTAACTCTCGCACCTCCACCAGGTCCATTACACATATTCATGCAGAAGTGAACATTCCCAGTAGCCTCAGCTGCAGTTTGTATTTAATGGCAATAAATGTAATGTTGGCTCATTAACAGACTAAACTAATATCATGAACAATGTACCTGTCACCATCACCACGTACGCAGTGTGAGTGTGTTAGCATGCACTTAGCGTCTGGTCAGAACCCTGCTGCAGGGAACAGCCTCACAGAGTTATCATATTATATATAATCATATTGTGACTTCACTGTTCCGGAAATATCAAATTTTCACAAAAACCTGATTTAACAATGAAGAATTCTACATATTTTATTCAGGTATATTAAAACGCAAAAATGTACCATCTCACCCTGGACCAGGCATCACAGCTAAATCACTTTGTTTTTTTAAAAACATGAACATTCACCACGTCTGTCATGAGACATTGTATTTTTGTCTGATGAACAATCTATAAAAGTAGATATTTATCAGTCAATACAATTAGTCTGTTCTTCACAATTAAAGATATCTAGAAAATAGTTGGTGTAACAGGAGACACAGATTTGACAAATGGTAAATCTTTCCATTCTTTAAGGTTTTGTGGTAAATTACTGATCAATAAGAAATAATCATACGAAACCTGCCACACAGAAAATGCCTGTTCACAATGAAGCATCAACTCCATCTTGTGGTGCAGAGAAAATCTGCAACTTCAAAATAAAGGTTGTTACAATAAAACAATGACATTTTACTGCATGATGCTAAAATGTAAAACTGCTTCATTCCACAGGAGCAAAGCAACAATATGTTCTTCATAGTGTTTGCGTGAAGTTTTTAAATCCTTCACTTTCCATCTGATGCAAACTGTTTCATTGAAATGAGAGAAAGACTTTTAAAAACACAGGCAGCTTTAATTCAGGAGCAGCTTTAGGAAATAGCATTTCTTACAAAAAACACTCAGTTACTACACAGGACACACTCACTGACCTGAACCAAACAACTGTCTTCTATTTAAAATGTCAAAATAAGTGACATACAAATAAGATTCAAAAAAAGAAAAGAAATTCAGCCTAAAATTACCTAAGCTGTTGCCAGAGTTAAGCTGAGGAAAAACAGGTACTTGTAATTCAAAATCAATTACAATGACCAGCTCAATGAAGTTGGTACGAATAAGATTTTTTAATCTAATCATATAAGCATCCTGTCTTTTTTGCCAACCTCATTTCAAGTATTGTTGTCATTCATTTAAAAAAATTGACTTTAATTTAAATAAAGGTTCGACAACATCACAACTTTAAACGTCTGAGAGATTTTAGGTCTAACTCAACAACTGAATCTGTTTCTTCAAATGAAAACCTTTACTCGTCTTCCCTATGAGCCTTTTTCTCCTCCTCGTTGTCCTGTGACGCATTGTCGTTATTTTCCTCTTCACCTTTGTTTTCCTCTTGGTTCGTCTGTTTCTCCTCCTTCTGCTGCTCAGGTTGGTCTGTCACGGTTTTCGCTGCGGCCCCATTGGGCTTCGGTGCGTCCTCTTTTATCACCTCCTGAACGTTGTACTTTCTGTACAGAGTATAGTCTTTGACCACACTGATGCAACACACAGCCTTGATGACCTCCACAATGATTGTCAGTTCTGGGTTGGTCAAATCCACTTTGTTTTTAGGGTTCAGCTTCCCCACAAGACCTGAAATGGATCAAATACAACACACAAGGTCAGTTCAGCTTTAAACTATAATCATGAAAATGGTGAAATTGACTTTTTCCATTCGACAGATCTGTCAGATCTATTTCAGCCGGATCAGAGGAAGTCAAAACAACCTGCGATGGATTGGATGATTTCGTCTCTCTTGTTGTGGCTGCTGTTGCGGGCCTTGAAGGCGATCTGATACGTAGCACAATTTGGGGTTTTGAACCATGACTCCAGGAAAGTGGTCAGATACTTCAGCATATCATCCTGAAAGGCCTTGCACGTCCCAGTCACCTGGATAAGATCAACAGAATGATACACACACTGTCAATTCTTTTTTTTATCTTGATATATAGTAGACTGAGTTTTATGAAAGGCTGCAGCACATTTTAACGAACAAGAGGCATAAAATAAAATCTAAATCTATAATGTGTGTGTCAGGTAAACTAGGATTCTATCTTCTCACTGGTAGCATCCTTAGAATCGTTCTGGACTTCTTCTTCTTGGTGGTGTGGAGATCAGACAGGATGTGATGAACCAACTTGTCAGATTCTAGGACAGAGCAAAACAAACAAACAAAACCATTATAGTCGCATAACATTAAAAACTTAAAACACCAGCTGTTCTCTCAGTTAAGCGTTTACCCAGATTTTGAGTTCTGATGAAGATGACATTGTTCGCCCCGCTGTCCAAAGCCTGGAAGCGTCTCTCTTGTTTCCTCCCAGATGCTTGCAGCTGTGCCACTTCCTTCTTCAGTGCAACGTCCACATCTTCTTCCTCAGCCTCTTCTTCATTGCTGCTCCCAGTGTTCTCTTGCAGCTGTAACCATAACAGTCACTTTTCAAATACCATATTAGGAATATAATAAACTAATGCTGGGTAATTGAACAATATCAATAAGTATCGCAGTATAATTTTTATCAACAGTAATAAAAGAGTCTGATCTATATCGGTATCATGCACTAATGCAAGCATGATGAGGAAGTATAACATATATAAGTTTGAAACCACAACCTTTACTCAGAACAACAAATCAGTCTTTAAACTTAAAAAAGCAAAGTTTATCAAAATCCACTGATGTGAAAAATGTATCTCGATATAATATTTAGCCTCATTTTCATTTTAAAACTTACTTTAACTTGCTTTATAAACTTTAATGTTAATGAATACAAAAAAATACAAACAGGTAAAGCAAGGTCAGACATAACAATTCTGATCAAATCAGCAATTCCTCACATGAAACTGAAACCAGCATGAATACTGGAATTCAAAAAAGTATTTCATTTGTCGGTGATCGATTGTTTCAGGGCTGCATGATATCTGCTTGTCACAATCAAGTTTATTAGTGACTTCTGGGACAAAAGTGAGATGTACAAGGACATTTAAAGTTAAATTAAAGTTCCAAGCGGAACATCCCTGAATCTATAAACACAAATCTCATAACCTCCTGTCACAAGGTGCAGATCACTTGTCCACAGAAACTTGAGGGACCAGAACAAACATCTGATCCATGCAATGTCCCCTGGTCCCCTCATTGTCCCCTCAGGGTCCCCTCAGTGTCTCCTCATTGTCCCCCTCAGTGTCCCCTCCTCACCTTCTCGGGTCCGAACAGCTCGTCTGCGTACTCGCTGAGCAGGTCGAAGGCCTCCGCGGTGCACTTCCTCTCGTTCATGTTGCATGTGATGAGGATCCCCTCCATGCCCACCTCCAGCTCCCGGGAGCCCTTCCACCGCTTGCCGTGGTGTCCGTACCGCTTCCTGGTGCGCTTCTGAGCGGCTGCCATGTCTGACCTGTGCGGGGTTCTTGTCTCGCAGCGGCGGCAGCAGCGGCGGCGGCTCCACCTCCCTCTTGTTTTGGTTCGCCTCTGTTAGCCGTTAGCTAAACACTTGAAGCTAACACGCGGGTTTCGGAGTTTGTTTTCACGCCGCGGCGGCTACAAGGTCACCGGTTCGGCCTCGACCGACACACGCTAATGTTTCACGTGTTGCCGCTTCAGGGTTTTCAGTCACGAGCGTTTGATTCCGTCACAACATTCATCTGAAGCACGTTTCTCTGTGGCGACGTACGGCGAGCGAGCAGGGCCAAAAAACATTTCCGACATTGTCGCGAAGCGCAAAGTACAGTTTGCCGGTTGGTTCTTCTTCTCTCGTGTTTAGAGGAGGTGGGCCAACCCAGCTTAGAGGCGCGTTACCGCCACCAGCTGGCCCGGGAGGGTGGAACAAGCGATGTTTTTAACAAATCTGTGTCTGTCATGAGCTTAATAATCTCACAGTAAATTTTGCCTGCTTGTTTTTGCTAACTCATGGTGTTTCCCCTTCATTAGTGACCGGAGAAGGTGAATTCTCTTGATATCGTATTTGTAATGAAGAAGCACAAGTTCGACTGTTTCTGTCTGAAGACAGTTTGAGTATTTTCCAGTTGGGCGCTTGATTTTATTCAGACCATGAAGTGAGATGAACAGAGTGAAAAGGTATTGTTTTTATTTCATTAGGCACAAACTCTTCATTATTGTCATGATCAAACACGTTACTTCATCTTCATGTGAAATGACCATTATTAACATAATTTACATGGTAAATACAAAATGAAATGCATGTATTAAAAAGCTTGAATGCAAAAAATATCCAGCACATTTTCATAATTTATTAGTATTATATATAATATGTTCTTTAGCTCCAATG